TGTATATATATATATATATGTGTGTGTGTGTGTGTGTGTGCGTGTGTGTACACGTGTGTGTACACGTGTGTGTATGTATATGTGTGTGTTTGTGTGTGTGTGTGTGTGTACACGTGTGTACGTGTGTGTGTGTGTAAACGTGTGTGTGTGTGTACACGTACACGTGTGTGGGTGTGTGGGTGTGTGTATTCGTTCGTGTATAACTGTGTGTACTATGTGTGTGTGTTTGTGTATGTGTGTGTGTGCATATTGTGTGTGTGTATTTTGCATATACATATGTGTGTATTCAACGCTAGTATTCTGTGGTGAGTTTGCTTGTGTATTCGTGCGTATAAATATATACTTATGATTAGCCATAGCAACTTAAGCAATTGTTTACCTATATATCAATTCTGGCGAACGAAGGAAACGCACTAAAACTTACTTTTCGGTGAAGTATTCCTTGTGGAACGCAGTGTGCTCCAATTCGCATACTCCGTCTAGTCCGGACGCGAACAAATCCGGCACCAGCGCAACTAGTGCCACTAATCCGGAGCAGAGGTCTCGTACTGGGCTACCATGTGTCAGGACACGCTTCTCGAGTAGTAACAATTTAACAAGCACAAGTAGTTTATATCTGAACTTTTTTACTAGCGACCTCAGAGATGCCATCGACGTCTCCGCTGGGTCGTCCAGAAGCGCTGCGACTTTAGTACCGTTATTAACCTGGTGGTAACACTGCTTAAGCATATCTATCGACGTAAAGTCCCGTTGCGCAAATAGTACATCCGAAAAAACATTTAACTTTGTCGATAAGAGGCCGTATACTGGTATGCGGCTCATGAATACGACACTCTTTTGCACGTAGCTTCGAGTGACGTCTGCATTTTTGTTCTCCACTAAATTTGCGTCAATCTGTCGAAATGACGCAACACAAAACATAGTTCCACCTTGGGTACTCCCCACTGCAGTATCACTGCCATCTAATATTGGTAGATGAAAGTAAACCGTCTCTTCCATGCGATTATGTACACCTTCAGGTAGTGCCATGAAAGGAAGACTGATCCAAGCCTCGGGTAGTTCATTAGACCCCTCATCGGTATTACCTGGCAAAGGAGGATAACTAAATTGTACCTGAGGTCCGTTCTTATGGTGAAACTCTACAAGCAATATATAGTCGACTGTACTCTCCGTCGCCTGGTCCATATTGCCTTTTAGCGACGACATACTGTAGAGTGTGGTCGCTATCTGAAACACATCGACAGAACGCAAACAGCGGCTGAGTTGGATTACGAGCAACTCATATTTATAGTAAATATTTTCCTTGTGTGTGCATTTACTGTATTTCACACGACTTCAAATTATTTATCATTTATTGTGTGTAAAAAATGTTCAATTTAGATTTTTAGAAGGCTATATTATATTATATTTTATATATAAAAAACAATATATATATTTTTGCTCGGGTTAATATTTACATAATTATATTTGATACGTAGGTCTTTTTGTCTCATAAACTTGTGCGTTTCTTTACATTGCATATTCGCCGTGGACTTCCAAAATTCCACGCAGATCCTAAGCTCTGTCTTACACTGAGGAAACCGAAGTTCAATTGGATGCCTTTGCATCACGGTGTATATTCCTTACTTTCAGGCACTATTCAACTGGCTTACTGTTCAAGTTACCTGGGATCGATGATGTGCATCTCAACTTACCGGGTACCTCGATTACAACCCTTTTCCATGTACCTCAACTACAATCCTTTTCCGGGCACCTCGACTACAACCGGCATCGACTTGGGTGCTATTGTCGTTTCACATAGCACTATGCCACGTCAATCGGTCTTAATTTTAGCTTTTAGTTGTTCGTCGCCAAATTAAATCGCGCTTGCTCTCACAGAGACACACAAACACATACTTAAACTGATCTATTCCATCGCCACCCGACCTTGCAGCCATCCGGTGTACTAATTATAATCGGCATCACTTGTAGAGAGTTCTGTCACGAGTCATGCACTCGCACTGAACACATGAAACGGCCACTAGGCCGTAGATTTATACTTGGTGGTCTGTAATAGAACATCAAATAGCCACCGGGAAGTTGCATTTTGTTTCTTCGATTCTACGATGACCGGGGAAATCGGTTGTACGACGTGAGCTGTATATAAAGTATTAAAGTTTACCATGAGATCATAGGTAAGTAGTGCACGATATGTAGCCAAAGACGTACTCTGATGCAATATAAGTGATGCTCAGACAGTAAACGCGCGCTTGTAAGGAAACCGAAGGCACGTACCATGCAAAGCTTCTTCTCGTTCTTGCTGCAGCGCCTCCTGACGCTCCATATTTTGTCTGCAGAGTCGACTGGCAACGTGCCTCATAACATTAGTTTTGTTGTGCAAATTAAAGTTATTTCTGCTGTCTTCGTGTATATCCATTTCGTACAACTTGTAGTGAATAAGCTCGCTACGAATTGTGTCTTTTTCATTCTCTGTCAGTCGCAGCCTTCGCTCACCTCTAAGATATTCATCGTGGCTGTACATATCGTGGCACTCGTGGTCCTCGTAGCTCTGGAATCCAAATGAGATGCGAGGCTTCGTACACTTGCTAGTGTCATTTTTTATTTTGATAGTCTCGCCGTTGTACGCGAAGCTGTGGTCATAGCCTTTGTATATTGAAGCATCCTTGACTTCGGATAGAGATTGCTTGAGTGGATTGTCAAACATACTCGTTCCTAGACTTTTGCTTGCTATTGGTCCATGCATCTTGTTGTTTGAAAAAGATTCGGATTAAATCTTACTTTTACGTGTCAAATTATTTATTGACTGTAGTAAGACTGAGATGTTTGATAGTTATCGCTTCGTATTTATAACACATCAAGAAGAGGATATCTCATTTTCTCACAACTGTGATCATTGACCCACAGTCACGGAGACTGGCAAAGGTACATAGAAACAATTTTTAAATATTTACAATGGTCAAGGGTGTATAGTATAAAATACATGTATTTATTTATTTATTTTTATTTACAATTATTTCAAAACAAAAACAAATGTCAGTACATTTATCTCATATCTGATCGCCTCTAAAAAAAATCGGACTTTTTCTTTTAGAAATGTTATGGAAAAAGAATTTGTGTTATTTACAATTTTACATTCATCAGTTCAACACGCTCCGCCCAGTCAGCCGGTATCCAGCCTCCACTCTCCACTCTCCAGAGAGTCCGACCTCCAGTCCTCCTCACCACCTCTCTACTACTACTCTCTCTAGCTCTCTCTAACTCTAGTAGAGTGACTAGCTAGTATCATAGTCTCTCCTACTCTAGACTCCTACACCACTCTCCACTCTCCACTCTCCAGCGCCAACAGTCCCTGCCCACCGGTCCTGGACCTGGGGCGAGTGAGCCCTGGACCCTTGCCCCCTGGCCCTGACCCTATGCCCTGTGGTCAGTGGTGGTTTCTTTTCTTTTTACTACTGTATACAAAACATTATTTTGGACCTTGTTGTAGGCTGGGGCAATGAGCCTATGACTGTCCTACGCCCTACAGCCTACAGGCCTATATACGGGGCAGCTTGCAAGCCGAAATAAATATGTATCACATTTGGGGTTTTTTGGGGGGGTTTTAGGTTGGTCGTTGGTGTGCTTGGCCTGAAGGTTGATGTCCTGAAGCCACAAAAGCGTCGTATCCTAGTAGTAGGAGAGAGAGTAAATAAATAATAAATAACGATCTGACCGATAGTTATGTATTTATAGAACTCTTTTTTCTAGAAAATTACTAGACACTGTAATACTCGCCTACCGTAGACTGTATTTAAATAAATAGTGTAAAGAACAGTACATATTTGTTTTTTTTTGTTTTGTCTTGAAAACAAAATAGAAAAAACAGACATCTGACGACGTCCTGACGACTGTAAAAACTAAAAATCTAAAATATTGACGTCAAATCGTACTCCCATCATCATGACCCTCTAGAAGAAAAAATAATACGCCTGATCGGACTATTGTCCGAAGATGGCCGTGCCATCATGTCACTTTATATTAATAATAAAAACTACTAAATGAATACATATTTAGCTACATATTTCAAAAGAAGGCTATATGCTCTGGCTAAATAGTTCAAATCGTCAGCTTTTAGTCTTTGTAGACCGCTAATATGTATATTATTGTTTTTTTTTAAATAAATATAAAAATACCTAAACAATAGTGCTATCATACTCCTACATATAGTAGTTATTTACGTACCCCCAGAGAGAGAATGCAATAGTACAGTACGCCCCCCAACGAGGCTCCAATGCTCTACTGCTCCCATGTGAGTTCAATGCAAGGCGACAACACTTTCTTGTCTATAAAACTTTTTACCTGGTCTGGATTGGATATCGGTTTCTAAGCATACTCTCGAAGGCGTTTTCGTTGGTTTGATAGAAAGCGAATTTTAAAGCAGCTTACTCATTTTCAATATTTTAAATTTTTATCACCCGCCGTTACTGACCGAGAATCAGATGGCTGAGAGGTTGAGGCGTTGAGCCTGAAGACTTAAGAGGCTGAGACCTGCGTCGCCTCACTCGCCTGCCGCGATGACACCTCTGGACTCTCTGGACTCTGGACTCTGGACTCTGGCTGGGCTGCAGCTGAGAGCCTGAGACTTGAGAGCCTGAGGCCTGACGGCTGACTCCTGAGAGGCTAGCCGTAGACTTTTACTTTTTCGTCTGAAAACGTTGCAATGTTTTACTGCTTCAATTTGGACCTCAAATATTTCGATTTTCTGCCCACGATAGTGCACCTATTCTCACACTTTTGGCCACGAAATGCAAAACTGACCAATGAATAACAACTAGAAAGTGATTACCTTTGCATTTTTTATCTGACAATATGGCACTTGTGAACTTGTGAAGTTGTCACACTAGTCACTAGGCACTGTCATTAATAACACAAAAGTCAAACTAATCGTGCTGGTAGACTGTGTAGCCTGTTGCCTGTAGACTGTAAATCCTAGATATCGCTATCAATTATATATACTTTAACTTCTAGAATGTGAACAAGATCAATATCAAGGGACAGTGTAGCGGGCTAATATACTTGACAACGCTCAACCCACGCTCAAGTCTCCAGAACCGATGGTTGGGCGGGCAATAGTTAGGTAAAATATGGTTAAGACAAAACTCTGACCTGGACAATGCTCTTATGGGTAGCTTTAGGACTACGAATATATAGGAAAAGTTTAACTTTTTACTTGTACTTTTTCATTTGAAAATCTTTCTCATTTGAAAACGTTGCAACGTAATACGGGATGAGGTAAGCCGTGGACTCGTCAAAAAGTGTTACGTTAACGCTTCTAATTCAAAAAAAACTAACGGTTAACGTTCAACTTAGGCCCGGGCCTAGTATCATATATACAACAACCGATATTGTCTAGGTGCTCTCCCCTGAGTAAATACTGGGCCTGGGGAGTGGAGCCCTGGGTCTAAGCTCAATAAGTTCCAACTACTATTTGATTTTCTTAAAACTTAAACTTTTATTTAGGACAAATCAACTACAAAGTTTTTTTGTTGAAAATTGCACTCAATCAGCTGTCCTATCGTTGAAAATGTCAGGCCTCGAATTTGATAATAGGCAATCAAAAGAGATTAAGCGTTTCAGTTGCGACGACTGTCGCCTGAGTGACCTGGAAAATGCACCTATCATATATGAAAGGAAACTATTGAGATATAAAAGTTACAACTTTAATTCGTTCATAGCCTTCTAAATTATACAGTTCGTTACAACTTTAATGTTTGTTCGAGGCATGATTAAAGTAAAACTTTTAACGCATTGAGCTTAGGCCTGGGCCTTGCTCTAGAGTAGTGGATAATGGTTGCGCGAGTACATTTACTGCCGGGTCTGAGACTCTGGGCCTCTGGGGGCATCTCGCGCAAGATGTTCGAATCTCGCACAAGAGACGACAAGAGAGAGGGAACTTGTGAGAAGAAAGAAAGAAAAATCTCGAAGGCACCCTCGAGAACGGTTAACCTCGAGTTCGACCGACCACTCGACTAGCAAAGGGTATAATAGAGACTGCAGACTGGTGTTGATTTGGATAGCATTATTACGTACCCAACGATACCATGGATAACTGACGTAGACGGCGGAACGTGTACGACATTATTACGCAGCAGGCGGAACATGTGCGATGTGTTACGCAGGAGGCGATACAGCTGAGGCACTATTACGTAGACGACAGAACATGCGAAACCGATTTGCCCTGAATGCCTACCGGCAGGCACAGTCGCACATCGCGACCCGGTGATGCGGTAGTGAGTCTGATACAACTATATAGACACTCCCAAGTATGTATACACGCCAAATACAAGGCAAGACAATGGGATAATACATATAATATATCGTTGGAACGTTAGACATTGATGAATCGAAAGCGATTTCATTTCATTCACAACATACGAGCAAAATCGATCTAAATAAAGGATCTACACACTTAATAACGTTATACACGCTGATATAGAAAGACAGATACCTTGGTTGCAATATAGCGGGGTACGCGATAAACCGAGCGTTTTTAATAAGCTAATCTCTTGTTACATGGAAAGTTATGGCTTAGGCTGTAGTGGTGTACATATCCCAAAAGAAAAGTTCACATGGTGTTGTTTGTCGACGAGCGCGACTATATGAGCTTTGTTTATAGCGAGGTCGCAGTTTTGCCGTGATTTCTCGTAAATTCGTTTTTAGTGTAAAATATCTTGGCGTTAGATGACACCAAAGTTTTGGAAATTGTGTGTATTAAGTAGTTCCGGTTAGGTGTATAGTGACTATTCAGAGATACTTTGTGCTTTTGCAAGTTTCGGTCTATAAAGCGATATTAACGCCTTGGAGTTATTAAACGCTTAGGTTAAGTCTAATTATCTTAAAAGTTTAAAATAAATAAACGAAATGAGTCTTTTAGTAAAGTTAGGTATGCCTCGTGAAAACAGCAATACTCTGAGGGATTGTGAGGCTGAGACATTGCGTGTATATAATCCTCTCAGTTCTGTTTTCGCCGAAAATATTTTATTTAGTGTTTCGTTGTTGCTCTAATAGAAACTGAGACTCATAAAATCCTATCCTTAGAAGAAGAAGAAGAAAAGAAAAGAAAAAAGAAAAATACTCTTGATGTCCATAGATATGGCATTAACCAATAACTTGCCACTTATCTATAATTACCGACTTAGCCTTCATCAGACTGGCACATCTGGTTGGCTGAACGGAGGATAAACTAAGCAACGTTAATAGTCCTTAGGAACCTATGTTCGGTTGAGCCATCTCGCTACCGAAGTATTCAGATATAAATAGATCTGGAAGGTTAATATAGTTCTATTAATAGAACTATACCAAATCTTATATATGGTGTTTTACTGGGGCCTTTTAATGGCCTTGTCCAAATATCTGATACGTAAAATGGAAAAGGTATTTAATTAATAAAAACCGTTAAACCCCATTTAAGAGTTTACGTACTTTTAAGAGTACGTTTTACGTACTATTAAGAGTACGTTTAAATTACAAGATTCTAATGTGGAGGCCCGGCTTTTAAACTTCAACCATCCCATCTATACACTGGCGCAATTTCAGTCACCATTCTTGATACCATCACACGCTGATACTAACTCAGCCACAGCTTCGAATTCAGCTTCAGGGGAGTACGATTACGACCACAATTCAGGGGGACCTCCGTTCACATACTCTGGCGGCAATACTCACAGTAGGTTATGCAATAGCTCCGGCCTAAGAACGACCATGCACTCCGCACTAATATACCCGCTATTAGCAAGCTTACTCTCATTCTTACTGCCACAACAACACATTCCATAGCACCCACTTCGACTATTCCATCTATACACTGGCACAATTTCAATCACCATTCCTGATGCCATCACCGGCTCAGGGGAGACTACTATTCCTCCGGCTCCTCACGTTGACGCTGATACCAATTCCGCCACCGCTTTGAATTTAGCTTCAGGGGAGTACGATTACGACCACAATTCGCCTCCAACCAGATATTCTGGCTGCAATACCCACAGTAGGTTATGCAATAACACCGGCCTACTAGCGGCCATGCACCACAGTTAGACACCAACTGATACACATTCCGCTCCGGCCATGTGATGGAAGAGACTGTCAATTTCTGTCTTCAATCACACATTGACAAGCACCCCGTCACATTGACAAGCACCCCGTCACATTGACAAGCACCCCGTCTCATGCAAACTCCGTGGTTTGTACTTGCACCAAGGGACAATACCAGATCACTCAACGAGCCCACTTTGCCCAACAATATGCAAATGACAAGTCACAGGGCACGACAAATAAATGCTCACAACCTACATACCCTTGATCAGATTAAGAGCATACAAAGCATTACTACTTGTAATGCACTCACTAAGAAGATCGTTTACTGGTCTTCAGATCTTGAGAATACTGGTGTATTTCCTGATATTATGACAACTCTCGGCTACGTTCCCCTTGACGTCACTCCCAAAGAACTCACCCCTAATGCGAAGCACGCAAACGCCCTCCGCCACATACAGCGCACCAAACAGCAAAACAAAGCACATAGAGACTTTTGTAGTGCTGCACTTACACTTCCACGATCACAGTACTCGGGGATACACCGCAGCAGTTAGACTATCATGACGAGCCTCTGGATGACCTGACTATACATATAAACACCACAATGCTAAACAGTTCTGATGGTACATGGGCCAAACACCAAGCACTCTATAATAATACTGTCGATAGGCTCTACACTGTATACGTGGCAGTCCAGGCCAACCCACTTACCACCATAAGCATATGCAAGGCACTCCATGGTAGTGACATCGGCTTGTGGCGAGCAGCTATTTAGCAAAAACTAGCAAGCCTCAACAAGTCCAATACAAATAAACTTTTCCAACCAGATGCAATACCCGATGATGCGTTTATTATCACGAACAAATGTGGATATATGGTTAAAATGATTGATGGTGTCTTTGATAAGTATAAAGCACGATTCTACGTATCAATTACAACGTACCGTATGGACCAATGTGCTCTCATGAAACCTTTTGCACAGCTTTGGCCGTGTCGGCCTCACAGGGCTGGCACGTCGAACAAATAGATATCGACACGGCCTACCTGTATGCCCATATCCATGCGTCCACTTACAAGATCAAGTGCCCTTTGCCTTCCCGATGATTCTATCATTTCGCTAAAGAAAAGCCTCTACGGTCTTAAGTAATCTGGTCGACTCTAACACACGCTTTCAAATCTAAACTCTTGCCAATGGGGTTCCATCTAAACACTTTCGACCGGTGCATGTTCATCACTAATGAACCCGATTTTTATACATCCTTCTCCTAAATGTTAACGAAATCATCATCTGTGGTAAACTCGCCATAAACCTTGGTCACCCTCACTGGCTCCTTGGAGTCTCCGTACTCAACACCGATAACTCTTTTAGTCTTGTCCAGAACAACTACACCGTTGAAGCTCTCACAATGTTCGACCTTAATGATACACATCCATTTCCTGCCTCCGCTACACAAAATGTCGTCCGCATCCATGAGAGATCACACTGACCTTGCTTATGTTGAGAACCCCTTGATACTCTTGAGTACCTTTCAATCCTCACGTGTGCAGACATCTCATATCCACCCAACAACCTGGAACGTTATATGACTAATCCCTCAATCGATTACTGGACCGCTGCACTCAGGACCATCCGCTATCTCAAAGCTACTCCCCAGTTTGGTCTAGTCTATAAGTACTAAGCTGGCCCTCCAGTAATTGATGCATTTGTGTACGCTAAAAACAATGCATGCTCTGATGTAAGACGGTCAACGAGTAGCTATCTACTTCATATTAGGCCCTACGCACTCTCGTCATACGAGCTCAATACATTCCACAGTGCCTCATTCTCCGCCAACTCTCAACAGCAACATACTAGGAAAAAAACTAGAGACCATCCTTATTATAATAATAGATTGTATCCTCAACAAGCGTACACATTATTACTTTTGGGAGAAAGTTACGCCAAAACCAATATTATAATACGTTATTGAAATACACCTATAGTTCGGTAGCAAGAATGCTACTTGCATAAGAACTGTCACGTGACAGATATGTGACACCTAACAAAATGCTGCTTAGGTTCACCAGACGTTCATGTTTAGGACATACATGTGCATACACATGACCAAGAATTTACGTATAAAACACTCTAAAGGAGGTGTAAGTGTTAATAAATCACTTAATCGGTGGTTTTATATAAACTAACACCGACATGGTAGAAGCATTGCGTAGAAGCGCAATTTGCGGACTTTATCCAACACAGCATAGGCATTCGATACCGATAGGCACAAAGAGGCAGATATGTATTTATATTTGGCTGTATATTTACAAGCCAAGGTAGACTCTGAGCTTCATGTGTTTTAAATCGAGTAGATAGGAGAGCAAAAGAACTTCACCAAGGTATGATGCCAACTAAGTACCGTTCGGATCAAAAGGACAAAAAGGGTCCAATCAATACTGTCGATTTGACAACTTGTCAGAAGCTCGTTAAGCTTATGCTAACAACCATCATGAGCAGAGCTTTAAGCCATCTCCTTACAAGTGCAAGATACTGTACAGGGAAATACCTACCTGTGTTGTATCGCAATTGGACACGTGCGAAGCAAGGTGAAACGTTCGCGGAGAAGTGTGATGATTTTGCAGGAACTGGAGGAATTCACAAGTAGCAATGCAAGGTTCGAACCATAATGAAAGCCAAGTGACAACCATAATGGGTTTTGTCATTAGAAAACAAATCAATGCACCTACAGATGGGCCTGTCAGTCTTGATGTACGAATTGATGGAAATAAATAACAGCATTGCTAGATTCGAGCTCGCAAATTTCATGCATAGCACTACCAGATCCATGCTAAAGCTTGCTAGCAAGAGAAAAAGAACGTGCCGATATATGGCTATTGGTGTGCGATTCACATTAGCAGATCAGAGGTCAATCTATTGTCTCAAAGGCAATTATCTATAGTGCGTCACCAGACCACGACATAACAGCAGGTATGAGTGATTCGCCATCTTTAGGTATAGTGATTATAGATGTTTCAAACATTTGCTAGCAAGAGAAAGAAGAAAATGCCGATATATGGCTATTGGTGTGCGATTCACATTAGCAGATCAGAGGTCAATCTATTGTCTCAAAGGCAATTATCTAAAGTACATCACCAGACCACGATATAACAGCAGGTATGAGTGATTCGCCATCTTTAGGTATAATGATTATAGATATTTCAAACAACATTGATCTGCAGAACGATCAATCAGGTGACAGCTTATTGAAACCTGTAAACAGAACTTCTGGGACTATGAAGGAAATGATTTCACATTTTACAGACAAGTTAAAGGATCTTATCTTTAAGAAGAAGAAAAAACACAGACTGGGCTAGATATATATTCGATATATGCGAGCTTAGTCCTGACTAGCGCGGGCTTCTCGAAACTCAAGTGTCCAACAAGCATGGCGTCATGAACAAGTAGTCAGAGATCAAGTTAAGGATTATGAACGCACCCCAGTTAAGCTAGCGCTTCTGGCTGCAGGCCAGTTCAGTTCATATGAGACTTTGAAAATAATACGCATCTATTTGTATTTGAGCCCTATGAATACTCATATACCATCTCATTACTTTTACTTACCAATGATTAACTTACTGAGACTATTGAAAAGGCTATAATATTCACCACCATTTAGCCGAACCGAGGTATCGTCAACTATATATGTATAAGCTACACAAAAAGTACTTTACGTTTACCTGGGATGGGCAATGACATCGTACTTTCAACAAATCATCAAGTACTGTTTCAAGATATGGACAACATACGAGTGTGTATGGTTGTGTAAAGTAGTTTTTACAAAGACCAAAGAGAAAGTAATACTGAATAAACACCTCGGTGTTAACGAACTACAACTCTTGGACGTCGATTTTCTGAAATTAGATCATGATATATCTATAAAAAAGTCAAGCCGTTAACTAAACTGAAGAACTCTTACGACTGGAAGGTTTGTAAATGGCATGCGTGGTTTCGTCAACTTCTTGTCGGGTTTCTCACCTAGCAAGTTACCGAAAACCATTTGAACGCTTGAGTTGTCACATTGAAGCTTTGTAGACCAAGGCCTGTGATGACGCGTTTGAGCAGCTCAAATCAGTGATTAAGCGGACAACGCTATTTCAGCCACCAAAAGGCTCAGTACAGTTTATAATAGTGACAGACGTCCGACATGGCGATCTGAGAGGAGGGGGGGGGGGGGGGGGCTATGAACTTGTCACAAATAAATTACGCTATTGTGCAACAAGAGCTTCTAGGTTTCTATCAGCACTAACTCATTTTATTAACTTCTTGCGCGGTGCACATTTTAATGTATTATGTGGTCAGAAATTATTGCAGCACCTGTAGAATATGAAACAAAACTCACAATTGGTTCGTCGGTGGCATGATACGATTAAAAAGTGCTCTTCGCCATATGTGTGTCACGATTTGTACCAGATTTCATAAGATGGTGAGACAGAGACTAGTTTGGATTGAAAGATAAATTCTAGATGGTTCGTGATCGCAAAAAACGTATGCGTGTATCATAGATATGTTTGCTGCACATCATTTAATGTACAACTGCCCCAATATTGAACTCTGGAACATCCAGAAGGTGAAGCGTTTCAATCCATTTGTCAGATGAGAAGGCATGGATAAATTCACCGTTTGCTGATAACACCACAGTTGAATAGTTAGGGCTGTGTTGTCCATTTAGACACTCAGATAAGTGGCTCGACAGATTGATCTCTATGATGCAATCTACGCCAATTCGTCGTAGATGAAAAGGTAGATAAACTACTCTACTAGGGTACCCAAGCAGCTCAAAAGCCGCTTTGACGACATAATACAATATATTGAAGAGGTCGAGTTGGAACAGCTAAGCGGACACCATCAGAAACCTTTTGAGGTAAAAGAATCCAAGATTCCACTCTTAATACCACGGTCTCAAGAAGATACTAATGCCAGCACAATCACCAGCAGTATATTTTATTGAGATACGAGCTGCAGCCCCTGAATCAATGAGAAGCTTATCAATAGCAAAGACATTTTACAAGAAGATATGTTTAAACAGAATCACTGCTCGCGAGACTGACACTAGGCAATTAGAACAGCTAGTGAACAATTTCCAAAATATATGCTATCATATTAATAAACTCACGGACAAACCAAACATCAGTCGTATACATACCTCAAGGCCTTTACAATACCAGACACGCTGATGAATACCATAGTGTCGAGTATTTAAAGTCCTAGATCTTGCGGTCTACCAGCGACCTTGATCAGGTGTTTGTGGACTTCGTTCGTCTTGTAGTTTCTAGCCATAGTTAGTATACAATGAATTGATACTACTTGTAGAAGCAAGTTGTGATTATAGAACTGGGGGGTGAGGCTACGCCGTCTAGCCAACCGATGTATAACAGTTGAGGAGAGATATGATCTGACAGATTTCCTTCCAGTGCACACGTGATCGTGAGACATGATTTCGTAGGCGATTTGGAAGCCCAGAAGTTGGCGTTAGGCGCTGCTGACTATGTGAAAGCTCCATGAGTGTGGTTGATCATAGTTTTGCCCAGCAGATGTGGGACAAAGTTCTTTCTACCATTGCTGGTGCCCGATCGGAATGATAAGTTGAGAGGTGACGGTTCGATAATTGTCTCTATTCAGTTTCTTCTTCACTGGTTTGGGTAGCGTAGCTACTTTGGCGTCCTTCATAGTTTTTATCTCCTTCGAATTGAATTGGTCTGTGACAGTCATGAGGTTGAGCTTGAATCTTGAGTATTCTTGGGGTTGTGGTACATATTATGCGAACATAAATTTGGGGGTAAGAATTTTTCAAGGTTTCTGGCGGTTATGAGATATCCTTAAGCCATAAGTTTTAAAACAATAGGGTTCTAATCTCTGTTGTGTTTGCCCAGTATATTTGTTCGATTTGTATTCATCCATGCTGTGATAGTGGAGTCATCGACGTTCTCAAACGTAATTCTGATATTGATCGTTTGTGGGTAGCGGCTTCTTCTGCGACATGACTATTGTTTTTATTGTTGTTTTTTCTTTACAATCTTAACCCCTAAAACCTGCTTTTTATATTCGACAACCCGGTTAGTGATTCAAGTACTTTAAACGATGATCCAGTCAGGAACAAAATGAGTAGGACTGGTGTCTAGTTATTAGACAACAGTAGATAGACCCCATACTTTTCCCGTACATTTAGAGTAGTAAAAAAACATGCCATATTTGCCATGAAAAAAGTCTACATCTCAGCCTCAGGCTGGTGTAGATATATTGAAAACATTTATTAAGGTGACTACTTGCATATCAGAGGTCTAAATGAATGTAGCAGGCTTAAAACGTGTATCCATGTCGGTAATAGTGAACTGAATTCGCAATTGACAAATGCATTCAATTAGGTTTATCTAGCGTAAGTAGTAATATGGCATCTTGCCGTTGTGACCTACGAGACAACTGCGACATATGTAA